AAAAATTTAGACTGTATGAAAGCTACATTGGTGTGATCCCTATACCCCATCTTGTGCACTATTCTTATCGCTCTTTTTTGTAGTATATACAATGGTTGAAGTGAGCTTTTGTATGTATTTCCCCAGTTTTCCACGCCATACTCTAAGTATGGTAGAATCAGAGCTCAGTTAAAAGACACCAGACAGCTACAAATGACTGGGGGGCCTGTGTATGGGAGGATCCTTACCCTGTCTGTGCCCAGGGGCCCACTAACATGCTTCCAAAACCTGGCCCTGTGCTGGCACAGCTGGATCCAGAGGCAGACCTGGCACCCTGAGCGTTACCAGTCAGATCAGCATTTCTCTCCATTTCATCATCAATCTTACACTGACATCACTGAGTGAAGAACACAAACGTGTGAAGCTAAGAGACACACAAGGCCCAGAAACACTGCGAGCGTAACCCAACCCTGGCTGTCAGCTGTCCTCGCCATCTCCTCACCACCTTCCTGTCGAGCTTCTTTGATTACTCCATTTGTCCTTTCAGCTGCTGATAATCCTACTGACCTCAGCAGAGACAAACACTGACACAGGGTGAAACATCCACACTAAGCCGTTTAATTATTCAGCAGAAAGCGCTGTCCACAGTGAGTTCACCTGGACAGCATGAAAAACAGTTTTTTCTTTGTCCTCTTTTCAGGTTGCAAACAAAAATGGATTCACAGCCAACATTGGCCGGGAACACGGTGATATGGTTGGATTCACACAGTAGAGAGGTGTGGCGTCGCCAGTCTGAACCGACTTGTGCTAATTTAGCATAAAACAAGGATTTATAGCCATCTTAAGTTGGCTCAGCTGTTTCATCACATATCAGGGACAGATTAGCTTTCCTCTGACATTCCTCCCTTTAAAGATCATTTGACATGAGGAACTTAAACTGTACTGCACCAAGGGCGTGAACATATTTTAAGGGCCAGCTTGAGTAAAATGGCAACGTGGCATCAGATACATTTATCTAATGTCAGCTTTCCTGTACACGGAGGCTGAAGGCATTCTAATATTGCCATTCAGGTCAGAACATGGCCTCGTTTCAGTCTGTTTTCTGTCTGCGTGGCAGCCGGCCTCCATCTGTCATCACCATGCGATTATCACCTCTACTCTCTGCGACACGTTTTTCCAGCCTCTGGCCAGGTCGCACATGATGGACACAATTAGTGAAGACTGGAGCCGAGGTTAGAGGGGGCAGACAGCTGTAGAGCTGGGGGTACATGGTAATATATAGCCGGGGGATTAGCAGATACATAGTACTGATGGGGAGGGATTAGAGGTGCAGGGTAACAGATAGCGGGGATTAAGTGTGATGGGCTGAAGAGGCGCTGTGATGAGGAATAGGAGACTGGCTGGGATAAGGCTAATAGCTGGGATAAGAGGGGAACCTTTAGTACGAGGATGTGCATCATACTGCCTGAACGGTTGCACAGTTCACACTGCAGGCCAGGACAAGTCCAGGAGCTCCCTGTAGACCCCTGTGGTCAGACTGTGGCGAGGCACCAACCAGGACTAAGGCTCTGAGCATTCCCAGGAGTACAACAGACTCAGGAACTGGGACACAGAGGAAGCCTGGCAGGCGCGTCTGGGCTGCTGGTGGATGCTACTGATGGTCGATCAGTGCCAGAAACCTGTGCAACAACACAGGCTCACACACGGCTTCAGTGTACCCTACTGGTTGTGTCAGGACTTAGAGGTTTGGGAGACAAGTGTAAGTTTTTTTGCGGTTTATCAGTCCCCTTATAGGAAACCAAACAACCACACTGTCAGAAGTTAATTTAGGTGAATGTTGAGGTTTTCATCACGTCCTGCATCACACCAGCTGTCAATCTCTGTGAGTGACAGGCCGAGGTGTGTTCAGTTACAGTTTCTACTCATTAGTGATCATCGTTACCGAGACCTTTAACAACCAGCAAGTGCGAGGGTCGAGGGTGTGTGTGACGGTCCTGGTATGTCCTCCGCTCGCTGAAAGACGAGGCTGTCTGTAACCATAGGATCTGTTTTCAGATGTGTCTGTCTGCCAGTCACATGTCAAACCGTGGCCACAGACGCCACGGTCAGAGACCTCAGGTGTGTTCAGGAAAGCCCAGAACAGGGTCACCTTCTGGACCGAGGCCTGCAGGTGACCCGGCAGGCGCCGCTCTCGGGAACGAGGACTGTGCTATAGAGATGTAGTCATGGCTCAGTGGCTGTCCTGTGTCTCGCTGCCACTGAACCGTGTCCCACAGCTGAAGATATTATATCTAGACTCCCACAGCAGGGAGCCCCCGGGTAGACCCGTTAGACACCCAGCAGAGCCCGGACGTCCCATCACTGATTTTTATGTGTTTCATATTCACTGAGTTCGTGCCATTGTTTTTCTGTTGACATGCTTTCTCTTTCCAGTTTTGTATTCATGACTATTTTGTACACCTACCTTTTCCCCATTGGGACACTGGTTCCCATAGTTTATTATTTATTATGAAACTCTCTTTTTATAGTCATTTCAAAATGATCCTTCCCGTATTGGGTCTTTCTATCCTAGATCACATCTTTGACTGTGACTGGGTTGAAAAATTGATGAATCCTGTTTGTATGGACTGTTCTTTGGCACAGTCTGTAGGATTCAGGTTGCCCTGGATGTATAAATACAGGCCCTGTGTAGCACATGGCTGCTGAGACCTCAGCTGAGGTTTGGGATAAAGGCTGCGCTGCGTAACCACCATCACGGCTCCTGTTTGTTGTTTGCCTGTTTCTGTACTGATATCGGTGACCCGGCCCTGGTATCTGGTATTCTGTGGAGTCACCCTTCACCCACAAGCTTTTGTGAGGGCACTGCTGAGCGTTTTCAGCCAACAGAAGGTCTGACACTTCCTGTCTCTGCTGCTCTGTGTCACTGTGTCCCTGCGTGTTACCAACTTTTTCAGGGAGCTCCTGTTCATCCTGTCCTCCTCTCTCTCGGCGTGCTGACACTGAGCGGTGATCTTCTCCTCCCAGAGCGTCTTGATGTGCAGTCTGTCATGGATCAGCAACACGTTCATCTGCAAAGACACAGCTCTGATAGGAACACTTCACACTGACACTTGGCTTGGAGAGTAATTTAGCACCAAAAGGAACAGATTCATTTCATTGTCCTCTGGTTAAAAATCTCTTTATGTGTGTAGGAATGCCCATGATGGCACCATGGGGCTGTGCGGCCGACACCTTGCGCACAGCTGCAGCCTCTAGAGGGCAGCGCCAACACGCAGCACACTGCGGTTTGTAGCGGCCTTCGCTGACAGCAGCACACCGGGGTTACATGACGGTGGTGCCTACTACCAGAACTACACCTGGGCCAGCAGAGACAAGCTGATATGTTGAACCTGTTCCACACAGCAACAGCATCCTTCACGTGGAGCTGTGTGCATGTGCACATGGGGACCCTGTCAGCCCTGTGTTTGGTCTCCACCAGCTCCAGAGGGAAACATCTGGCTGTTTAGTGCTTAAACCTGCCCAGGTATGTTTTGGTGCCAGTGCCAAGCTAGTTCAGTGTGTAAACAGAGGGACGTATGTGAAGTAGGAATTCTTCTCACCCACAACAACCACTGTCTCCAAACCAACAGTCAAGCTGTGGTTTGGACACTGAGCACATCACTGCGCTGCCGAGGGCAGCTGTACATTAGGGTGGTACCTGTCAGTGGGTTTGACTCCTCACACACACTTTGACATGCTCTTCACTCACAGCTGCTTTCAGTAAACATCAACACACTCTGGTACTAGAATACTGTTGTACTCTGGTCATTTTGCATCTCTTTGTAGCCATGTCTCAAAATGCAAATGTCGTGGATCGTTAGAAACCGGCCAAATAAAACAGAAACTTGCAAACTGACCTAAAACTGTAAAGTAAATGTAGTAACATGAAAAAGTACAAAGTCCCTCTGAAATGTGGAGGAAGCGTAAAGCAGCATGAAATGGAAATACTCAAGTAAAATACAAGAACTTCAAAACTCTGCTCAGTACTAGTAAGTAAATGTATTTAGCCGCTCCAACACTAATGAGAATCCCACCGATATTATTATATGTTGGTGAAAACGATCTGCACCCTGTAAAACAGATCCAAACTATCTGAACAAATTAAGGTTGTAAAACAAATCACATCAGAGCAATGGACTGCTTTTTACTATTTATTTAAACAAAATTCATATTTATTTATAACACTGTGCAGTAACTTATCTAGGCTATCATTAAATCTTACAGGTAAATTAATCTTAAACGATCCAGACTGTCCCTTTGAGGTGAATAAAGTCTAAATGTCTCCGCTGCAGACAGACGAGTGCCTCTAACCCTGGATATAATGAACTCCACTTCAGGAGTAACAGCATTAGTTTATTACTTACAGTATATGAAAAAGATTGTAATTGCACTTTAGTATAAAGTCTGTTTAAAACAGTGACCAGAGCCACGGCATGACCTCTCTCCTCCACACCGGATCGATGATCTCACTCATTACATGTAAACATGCACTTTGATAAACAGGCGAATTGTTCTGGATGAAAACAGGAGGGAGAAGACCAACCTCGGCTCAGAGCTCCAGCTCGGTGTCCGTCAGGCTCACGGCGTGGATGTGACCCCCTCCCTCCTCTTCCTCTGCAGAAATAAACGTTTAAATGTTTAGTCTGGTCAGTAAAGCAGCCTGTGAATCAGTCAGCCAAACTGCACACGCCCCCTCTCCCTGTTTTCTGCCTGTTGCTCTCTCTCTCCCACACAGTGAACTGGATTTGACTGGTCTGCAGGGACCACACACAGTGAGAGACAAGAAGGACAGGGCGGGATGGAGGAAGAACTCCCAGGTGGGAATGAGCCTATTTATAGACACAGGTTTTTGGTCCCAACTCTAAGGTCCTCTGACTATTTTAAGTTTCAGAAACATTCTTTAAACGTCACTTCACCACTGTTAAGGTGACGGAGCGGTGTTTGCTCGTGCACCATTCAACCTGTGCACGACTGGCTGAAATATACCAACAACTACTGAAGGAGCTGTTGTGAAATTACAGATGTTCACGGTTCCCAGACTGATTCTACTGGCAATCTACTGGGTTTAACAGAACAATGACAACATTCAGCTGGTTTCCAGTGAAACCAGTCAACAGACTTTCACGTTCCCCTCAGGATGAACCGTGATAGTGTTGGTGGTCCTCTGACTCTTCACCTAGCACCATCACCAGTTTGACATTTCTTCAAGCTCTGGTCGTCAATAAACCAATAAATAAACCAAACTGTTGCTTCACTGGTCGAGCACCCTCCAGTCTGTGCCCCAGTCAGAGACCTGGCTTCAGTCTGAGGTTCACCCCATTACCTCAGTGAACATCACAGCCACACTGGCTTCCTGTTTGGAGGTGAGCTGCACCTGGTCCTCACACCACCACGGAATATCTGAGAGGACACACTTGGTTTTGGGTGTTCAGGTTTAGCTCAGGGTATGGGGCCGGTGGTGCAGTGTGTCAGTGAGTGTCCTCACAAAGGCAGATGTACACACACACGTGTTGCAGGAAAACGACATCTGTGATGATGTGTGTGTGTGTGTTGTAGACACACACGCCCAGCCGACCACTGAGGCACGCCGTGTGTGAAAGTGATCTGCTTTGACAATGATGTCATGGCGTTCAGACACTTTTGCAAGACAGAGTGTGTGTGTTCTTGTACGGCTATCACTGTAAGGACCCGTCTCAGTTTTGTACCTTGGGAGTGAGGACATTTTGGAAAGGTTGGAGGGTAGAGGACAGCATGTGGCTGTCAAACGGGGGAAGTGTGTCACGCGGCGCCATGCTGACCACGTGCATGCATTCCTGGTGGATGACTTTGTAACGTGAACAGCATATTTGTGCTGTTTACCTCGAGGTCATCAGGACCAAAGACAGGACAGCTGAGAAAATCAGAATGGTTGTTGGTACTTTACAACACCAATGTCTAGCTGTTTATTTCAGTATCATAAAAGATTAGGAATCTGGTCTCTTTCTGGCATCAACATCTCAAGTCTCATTGACATATGATTCAAATAGAGTTGATTGGTTTGGTGGAAATCTCAGAACTGATTTGGCCAATTATGTGGCAGTGTGTCACCGATGTGGATGGCTAAGTGGTGAAGGTGATTGAGGATTGGTCGACGTTTGAAAAGCTCCTGCCCTGATGAATAAAAGCACACAGAAAACCAGTGAGGAACAGGAGCTGTTCACAGGGAACCAACTGCAAGCCAGGCTGTGGAGACATAATGCAGAATGACAACGGTGGGCCACAAACAATGTGTGTGTGTGTGTGTGTGGGTCCATACCCATGTATCCATAGTTGTTGTCAGTTGAGGTGGCGCTGTCAGTGATGGCCTCTGAAATC